AATAACTGGGCGCATGCAAGTAATAAACGAACGAATCTACAAAATAATATACACAAGAAATATAATCATTTAAATGTGAAATGCATGTAACTACAAAAATGAGTCAATAGAATTATATTGATTGACTAACCGCAGCACACCAATGGCGATAAACAGCAACTCAAAGCGTCCATCTCTATCTGTTTTAATATAGTTACCGACCCAGGATTTTTTCAGCTTTAAATTGTGACAATAAGCCGCAGTTGGGCAAACGATGCTTCTGGCGACCCCCCAACAATTCCAAGGCATAACATTTGGCTCTCCAAGCTTGAGATATGATATACTAATCTTGAACCGAGCATTCATGTCAGTCTAATTTCATGTCCCCGATATACCCTGCCATTCAAAACATTAACTCAGCCAGAAAACCACCCAACACCTTTTTGTTTGCCTGTCTATGGTGAGGAAAAACTTGGGTTCTTGAACATGTATGTTATCAATAAAAGTCCTAACTTGAAACATTTCGCAATCTTTTATCCTCTTTGCAATCATACGCCACGTACAGTTTTTGTCAATCATACACCTTGTTTCGAACGATCTTTGCTTGATTTGTTAACTTTTAGTTGATAGCTATCTTCCACACATTTCGTATACAAAGCTATATTCAAGTCTTTTTTTATCAAAACAATCATCTTTCTTGATACGAATAACTTTTGTGTAACAATCAACTGCTTTCTTTACCAACTCTTCTTCCGGTATCTGAAGTATTCTGGCATATTCCATTATACTCCCGTGGCATTTTCTTTTCTTCGGGGACTTTTTCTTCTTCAGGATTATATGAATTACAGAATAGATGTTCAACATGTTCATTCACAGTCGTAACTTCATCCTCATCATCAACAACATCTTCCTCGGCACGGCTGTTTCATCATCAAAATTCGGGAATTGACCAATATCAAAATCATTACACGCAGAGTCTGTTTCTTCTTCTGAAACTCATCAAAATCCGAGTATTGACCAATATCAAAGTCCGGGTATTGACCAAGATCAAATTTCGAATACTGACTAGTACTCACAATTTTTTCTGTTGGCATCATCGTCTAATGGTCAATACGAAAACCGGAATTTGGTTCTGAAAGTTGATTGGGATTTGGGATTAGAGAAAGGTTGTGGGTTTTGAGAAAAACTTAGTTGATTACTACCCCTACTGACCCAACAATACTACTTCTAGGTTCAACAACATACAATGTAACATCATCACTTGAAACACTAATGTAAGCAATGAATCGTTCAACATCTTCATTGTCGGTTAACAAATAAACTTTACCATTTCTCTGATAAGATAGCCTAAATCCACTTAGGGGCTCTAAATTCAATTTCTTTGAAACACGTAATATTAGAGTTTCATAAGTTAACTTTTTTAATGACATTTTAGTTGAAGATTCATGGGTAAAGGTATATATTGTAAACACCATGAACATTCTCCCATGACCTCCAAAACACAAATCTATCCAAACATGATCAACATTAGATGATTCATGGTTGTAAATTAATTTACTAAACAAACGAGCTGCGAACTAAGACCTGTTGCCGGATGGGGAAGGATGTAGAACAGATATAGGAACGGATGTCGCCAGAGAGAGTGAAGATGGAGATGAAATGAGTTGCGATTTAGGGATTTAGGTTATGAGTTGTTACTGTCTGCGTAGATATATACCCAAAAATTTGTGTTGCGAAACTAAACCTGTTGCGAACTTTAAAAATCGCATTGCGATTCTGTATTACTCTTGCGAAAGTCAGAATCGCGTTGCGAAAGTCAGTATCGCGTTGCGAAAGTCAGTATCGCGTTGCGATTTTGTATTATCGCATTGCGATAGTCAGTATCGCATTGCGATTTTACCAATTCGCGTTGCGATTTACTATTCGCATTGCGAATTGGGAAATCGCAACGACACTGTAGACCATCGCAACGCGATTTCCAACTATCGCAACGCGAATGCAATGCGAATTTGCGATAATGGAGATCGCGTTGCGAATTAGCGATCGCATTGCGATTTTGTTGGTCATTTTGGCAAATCCGGAAAAAGTTGGTTAAAATCGTATATTATAAGGCATTTTTGGTCACTGAGGCGATTTTCTCTTCATATTACTTTGTTTGCTTTTTTATTGTAACAATAGTAATAAATCTTATTTTTTGAGGCCCTTATTATTCCGAGACCTTATTCTGTTGCGCACGTTGCGTCATCCTAGTCCCGCCTATGTCTCTAACTGTCACATCAGATTGTCATGGCCTAACTAAGGGACCTTAACGGTTGAATATCGTTTTGTTACTTTTCGATAACATTAATAATTATTTTGTAACTTTTTAAACTTCAATGATAAAATAAAATCTTACTCAAACTTCAGTTATTATTTGTGTAATTTACCCATGAATTTATTGCATTACATTGTATGACCGCCCACTATTTTCAAGTCATGTGTGCTGTTTTAGTGGAGATGACCATGGTTAAAATTAAAATGAAAATTCCAGCCTTTTTTATTTTTGTGATGTGAAGCACTTTTCTAATCAAACAACTTTTATGTCGAGTTTTAAATTTTAAAATAAAAATAAAGATGTTTTTAATTGTAAATTAATTAATTAAAATTTAATTTATTAGACTAATTTACATGTAAATTTTGTAAATAATTCTAAGGTGGACCAAAAAAAGAGTGTTCCAGTGAGCAAACAAGAAAGGGAAAAAGGAAAAAGCGCCCTCATATATATATATATATATACACACACAAATATACATTGCTCACACCCATCTGGCCATCTCCATCACTTTCTTTCACATTTTCAACCTCTCTCTTTCCTCGCCACCGCCTTTCCACGTATCTTCTCTCTTGCAAACCTTTATTTCTTCATATTCACCTCTTTATCAACCTCGGCTTTTTGTCCGTTGGGTGGATGACGAAGACGATGGTGAAAGATGAGTGGGTTCGTGAGGCGATGACTGACGACAACGTGGTTGTGGAGCTTCTCGTAAGGCTCAAGCAAGCCCAGGACGCCTCACGGCCTCCCAATCTGCGGTGGCTGCTCTTAGATGGGGGATGCGTCAGCCCAGGTCTAGACCCATGCTGATGCCGTTCGACGCTAAGATAGATGGAGGAGATTGCAACGTCGGCAGTAGAGGTAGCCCCACCACGCCTCTTTCTTGAGCGGTGGTGGAGCGCCGCATCTCCTCTCGCCGCCGATGGTTTTGAAGAGACCTGTAGTAGTCACCTCCGTTGCTCTCCACCAGCTGCACCTTCCAGATCCAAGTTTTTTCCCTCTCTCTCTCTCCCACTCTTTCTTTCTCCTTCATCTGAGATAAGGATCTGCTCTTTTTTTCTGCTACGTCTGATAAGGACCTGTAGCAGTCACGCATATCCTTTCGCGACACGTTAAACTACGTAACACCCCCATTTCAAAACCCTCCCCCCCACAAAAAAATTCTTCTCATTAGTGCTCCTCTTCGTTTCATGTAAACCGATGCTTTTTTTCTTCTTCCGGATTGCATGTTCTCGATCTCCAATGACGGCTGCCCTTTCAATAACTCACTGTGGTCAAATCTATACAACTTTTATTTTCTTTGCTTTTCTTTCTCATCATCTTCGAACTGAAACGTCTGGGTTGGATGTGCTCAAGCATCGTCATCCGGACTAAAAATTCCCATATATTTTTACAAATTCAACAGTTACACGTGAGATTAGCCGTATAAGCAGGTATGAAGTGCTCAGCGTTTTCTTTTCCGGTCACCTGTCATTCTCTCGTTTACATTTCTTAGATTTAGTAAATCAAACCACACTTGCTTAGATTCTAGTTGCCACTTCTAGTTTATGGTTTTCAATAGAGGTTTCTTTCTGGGGAAAAAAAGAAGAAGAGTTCAGTGGGGGGCCCTACAGCCCATCCAGTGGATATATCTTATTTTTAGGTTTTCTTTTCTGTGATTAAACGGGAAAAGAAGGGTAAACTACAAAATAACTCACTCAACTATTCAAATTTCATTGAACTTTATATTTTTATAATTATTATAACATCACGATCATTTAATAATAATTTAATAAATTTGATATTATTTTGTAAATTTAATGATTAAAATGATTTTTTAAAATTTATTTTAGTGACTAGATAAATTTTACCGAAAAGTATTTGATAGGTGGGTCCATTGAAAGATGACTGCGGGACTCTGCGTTTGGGTTTGGCGTGATGTTTGTTAGTGGCGTATTTCTTTTTCACCCTTCTTTTTGGGTAGATGGAGGTTCCCCGGGGTGGGGGGAATTATCAGGTGTGACGCGAACACATACGAATTTGGTGGGTCTGTCTTCCTCCCATCACTATCTATCTGTGTCGGTTTCTACCGTGTTTTATCTAGTCTTATGTATGGCCCCATTGTTGCCCGAAATTTATGATCGGATGGATCATGCACCGTCTGATATGAAAAAGAATTAAGAAAAAGAATAAATATGGTTCTCAGTCATGAGAGAATTTTTGGTCATTAGAGTTTTTTTTTTAATCATGGGGTGTTGGCAAGAAAGATAAAGGATATACAGCCGGGTCATGTGCTATATGTCACGTGACGTGAGGTAGCAATGCCAATATACAATGGGAAAGAAAATTCTTTCTTGCATGACGTGGCGTGCTACTACTGACTCACTTAGGTTAGGAGGAGCTTTTTAGAATAATTGAAGATTTGTATTAAATATTTATTATTTTTAATTTCCCCCGTTTTGGTGAGCTGTTGGTTTGTATTATATCAATGCATGCTTGCTTGTAGGGATGGATGTATGTATTTTTTTATGGATGAATTTTTAAAAGTTTAGAAGGCGGAAATATATTGTTAATAAAATAATAATTTAAAAATTTTAGAAAAATGATGGTATCCGTCTATCTCTCAATACATCCTTGCGTATGAGTTTTGAGAGGTAATCTTATCTTTATTTCTTAATCTTCAACTTGCTTTGTTGGGCTTTAATTTTTTATATTTGTTGATGGATGTTGTAGGGTACTACTGCGAATGAGGCCACTAGCACAAGTACCAAAAGATCAAGAAAAAGAAGGTAAATTTAATTTCAGTTGTATGTAAAAGATAAAACCTTAAATTAAGGGGCCAAAATGGAAAGAATGAAAAAAAGACCAAAAAAAAGAAAAGAAAAAGACCATAAATATGGTAAACTGTAATGAACTTTACTCCCTTTCCCCTTCATTCTGTTTTGGCCCTTTAATTCAAAGAAAAAATTGGGAGAAGTTGTCATTCTTTATGGATGACTTTTCCTCGTAACTAGAAAAAGAAAAAGAAAGGATACCCATTTCCTACTCTCTCTTTTTTCTAAGATCATATAATTTATAAAAATAAGAAAAAGAAGGATTTGTTGTCGTTCTTTGTCTTTCAGACATTTGCAGAACTCAAGGAGGAGGAAAATCGGCTACTGGAAGAAAGTGTTTATTTGAAAAAGGTGTGTTCATCGTGCTTATCGATCTCATGCTTTCGATACCAGTGTTAATCATTATTTTACACTCATTCAACAGGAGATAGCATCCATGCTTGCTGCCTGTAAACAACATAGAGCAAGGAATGTCAACTTGAAAAGATTCAAGGTTAGCTCTTCAATAACTCATTTGCCAATCGTGTAGCGTTGTTTTTGATGTACACCTGCATTATTACAGCTTGATTCGAAGACGTGGTGTTCAAATGTTGATGAAGAGGAGAGAATAGGCTCTGGTGTTGACTACAGTCCTTCAAGTCTGCCATCGCATGCCGTTGATGAGCGGAAACCGATACCGGATTTGTGCAAGGGTAGTTGTAGTGAGGAGGAGAGTCTTTTCTTATTGCCTGATCTAAATATGATGGCTTGTGAAGATGTTTAGAGGTTGGTGGAGAACAGTGACACTAACCAACCCTTTTTAACTCGTAGAGTGTAGATGGTAGACTTGTTCCCTTAGTTCAGTACTTGTTTTGGGAATCAATGGTGATTCTTTATAGGTGCCTCACCTGTGTAAGCTTCTTCAAACAAATTTCAAGAATCCTTGTTCATCAAGACAAGTAAATGTTAGGAATAGATAATTTAACTTATCTGGAAACTCAAATATAAGTGTTACATTCCTCCGAACCGAATCTCACTCGTAAGAATGATTTCCACTTTACACAATTAAGATCTTGAGATAACATTTCCGCAGTCAAGATCCAGGAAAATATCATCAAATATAGGATCTCTAGAGCTTTGTGTAATCCCTCTAGACCCGGCTTATGCGTTTCGACTAAGTCTAGTAGATCACAAAGACATTTTCCAAAACCGTTATCCAATCAATGTAAAACTACATTATTCATGACATGAAATTATAATAAATTATACTATTAAAACTCAACTCTTAAATATAAAACCAATCAGTAATAAATTAATTTAAAACATATTTTAAAAATCAAAACCACGATAAACTGAATAGTAATAGCAAAAGTATCATCATTATAAAATCCAATACTTTAAAATAGGTCCATGTCACCAGAATAAAGTCAACTTACAAGTTTAAAATATTACAATCAGATATACTTCAAGAGATATATTGATCCTCCAAGTGCTCGAACCGAGGTATCTAACCAACAGTATATGAAAGGGGAAAAACATTTTCGAAAGGTGAGCTAGGCTCAGTGTGTCTCAACATTACCATAAAATCACAATAGGTACATTAAACAAATCATAGTCCAGTAAATCTCACAAATTCGTAAAAGAGTTTAACTTTTGAAAATCATAATTTAAACCCTTTTCTGGTACACCATCAGTAGTTCCCAAAATTATTTTCCATATAGCTTACTTTATGCACATAGCAAAAAGAAAGCCGACTTAAGGATAGGCTATGAAGCTTGTATCCTTAAGCCCAAGTCAATAAGTCCATATAGCTTACCCTAAGCACACAGCAAAGGAAAGCCGACCTAATGAAACATCTTGAGGCCCTCAAGAGTCACATTAGGCCCGTTTATTAGCTTGATCAGAGCTATACAATTGTAGTTCAATCCATCCAAAAATCAATATCCATATACCAGTCATCAAAGTCCATAAATCATCAACAATAAATCGGTGTACCAACAACAATAATCCATAGATTTCAATGTACCATATTTCAAAACATATAAAACCATTATGTAGTAAACAGGAACACACCTCGATAATGGGTTCAGATAGTAGATCTACTGATTCCAGGTTTCACCACGCTCTGCTACAGCTCAAACCGGTTGCCAACCCTCCACTCTCCCTACGGCGGCGCGTGTGGCGCGTGAGGCCTCCTCCGGGGGATCTAAAAATTCCGGAAAAATTTCTAAAAATTATTTTAAGCGATTTCGAGATACTTACAAAGATCGGTTCAAATTTTTGAACGGCGAAGAGCTCGATTTCAACTCGGTCGAATCTTTGACTGCTCCACCTCCTCACGCGCCGCCGTCGACGGTGAACAAAGTTGACACCGGCGGACTCGAAACGACACAAGGAACACGATGGTGCAGGAGGTGTCGTAAACGGAGCAACGATCGGCGGTGAATTTAAGATTTTCCCGGCGATAGAGCTAACAAAAACGTCGAGACTTTGACTGTAAATTCCCGACGTTTGGCAGCGTTTTGCTTCAATTAAATTGAAGGATTTGTTCCACGCTCGATGATGAACACAACGATGGTTTTAAAACGACGATCGAAATTTGGACGGCGTCGGAATCGGAGTTGGAAACGGCGTATGAGAAAGGAAAATTGGGAGCATTTTGGTTCTGAAAATCAGAACCAAATGCACGCATATAATCACCCAAAGCTGCCGACAGTTTTAGGGTAAATTCAAGGCTTGGTCCCTGGATTTCCTTTACTTATAAAATGGCCTATAAACTCTCATAAATTTTGATTTAGTCACCAAAAATTTACCAATTTTCACAATTAACCTCCAATTTCAATTAAATATTATTTTGTAAATATTCGGGTTGTTACAATTCTCTCCCTCTACAAGAAATTTCATCCTCGAAATTTACCTTATGAGAACAGTTGAGGAAACTGAGCCTCCATTGACTCCAATGTCTCCCAAGTAGCTTCTGAGAGGCCTCGGTTACTCCATTGAACTTTAACCATTGGAATACGCCTATTCCGAAGAACTCGCTCATCTCTTTCTAAGATCTGGATGGGCTCCTCCTCATATGACAAATCAGGTCTCAGCTCTACCTCATCAACTTGAATGATGTGATCTGGATCTGGACGGTATCACCTTAACATAGACACATGAAAAACATCATGAATACGACTACGATGGGAAGGCAACTCAAGCTGATAAGCAACGAGTCCAACTTTCTTCAAAATACGATACGACCCAATAAATCACGGACTCAATTTACCCTTACGTCCAAATCTCAATACTTTCTTCCATGGAGATACCTTGAGAAAAACCTAATCATGAACGTCAAACTGTATATCCTTCATCCTTTGATCTGCATAAGATTTCTGCCTATCAAATTTCTCTTTCAGACTGTCACGGATCAATCTGACTGTGTCATCTGTCTCCCGCACTAACTCAGGTCCCAAAGTCTTCCTATCACGCAACTCAGTCCAACAAATCGGGGTGCGACACTTACGCCCATAGAGTGCTTCATATGGTGCCATACGAATGCTGGTCTGGTAACTGTTATTATAAGCGAATTCAGCCAAAGGCAAAAAGTTCTCCCAGCTACCATGAAAATCAATTACACAACCCCGTAACATATCCTCCAGAATCTGAATTACTCTCTCAGATTGACCATCAGTTTGTGGGTGGAAGGAGGTACTATAATCCAATCTCGTACCCAAAGCCGTATGTAGCGCATTCCAAAATCTCGAAGTAAATCTCGGATCTCGATCTGAAATGATAGATAACGGAACACCATGTAATCTAATAATATCTGAAATATACAACCTCGCCAACTTGTCCAACGTATAATTTACCCGTACAGGAATGAAGTGAGTTGACTTTGTAAGTCTGTCAACAATCACCCAAATTGAGTCCTTTTCGAAGGAGTTATAGGAAAACCAGTAACAAAATCCATAGTAATACGCTCCCATTTCCATTCAGGAATCTTGATAGGTTGTAACAAACCTGATGGATGTTGATGTTCCGCCTTAACTTGCTGACAAGTCAAACACCTCACCACAAAATTCGAGATGTCCTTCTTCATGCCAACCCAATGATACCTCTCTCTCAAATTCCGATACATCTTATCTCCACCGGGGTGCATAGAATATGGACTACTATGAGCCTCCGTAAGGATAGTCTGCCTCAACTCAGCATCATCCGGCACACAATACCGACCTTTGAAGCATAAAACTTCATCCTGATCAAGGGCGTAATCTGAGCTTGTCCCTTGCTCTACTTGCTCAAAGATGGAAAGCAAGGAGCTATCAAGGGGCTGCTTAGCTTTGATCTCATCAACCAGGGTCGGCTTAACTTGTAATTCTGCTAACAGAAAGCCATCGTCATATAAATTCATCCTGGCCATTAAAGATCTCAACTTTGTTACCGTCTTTCGACTCAAAGCATCCGCTACAATATTAGCTTTACCAGGGTGATAATCAATCACGCAATCATAATCCTTTAGAAGCTCTAGCCAGCGTCGCTGTCTCAAATTAAGCTCCTTCTGGGTCAGAATATACTTTAAACTCTTATGATCCGTGAAAATGTAACACTTCTCTCCATAAAGATAGTGTCTCCAAATCTTCAAGGCAAAAATCACTGCTGCTAACTCCAAATCATGAGTAGGATAATTACTCTCATGCGGTCGCAGCTGACGGGATGCATAAGCCACTACCTTACCTTCCTGCATTAGAACACAGCCGAGCCCTGAGTGTGACGCATCACTATACACTGTAAAATCCTTCCCGGACTCTGGTTGAATCAACACTGGTGCTTGAGTCAATACAGCCTTTAATTTCTCAAAGCTCTCCTGTTGTGCCTCACCCCAGTCAAACGGCACATTCTTCCTTAACAACTTTGTCAAAAGAGAAGCAATGATCGATAAGCCCTCAACAAAACGTCGATAATAACCAGCCAAGCCCAAGAAACTGCGGATTTTAGAGATATTCTTGGGTCGTTTCCAATTCACAATAGCTTCGATCTTGCTTGGATCGACCTGAATACCTCGCGCAAAAATAATATGCCCCAGAAACGACACTTCTTGAAGCCAAAATTCACACTTGCTTAGTTTGGCATATAGACGATGCTCTCTCAAAGTCCGCAGAACGATCTTCAAATGCTCGTCATGCTCTGCCTCAGTACGAGAATAAATCAGAATATCATCAATAAAGACCACCACAAATTTATCCAAATATGGTCGGAACACCCGATTCATCAAATCCATGAAAGCTGCAAGAGCATTCATCAAACCAAATGGCATCAATAAGAATTCATAATGACCATATCTAGTGCGAATGGCCGTCTTTGCAACATCAGATCCTTTAACTTTCAATTGATAATACCCCGAACGAAGATCAATCTTAGATAATACAGTAGCTCCTCACAACTGATCAAATAAGTCATCAATCCTGGGTAGTGGATATTTATTCTTGACCGTCATCTGATTCAACTTCCGATAGTCAATACATAATCTTAACGGCCCATCCTTCTTTTTCACGAACAGAACTGGAGCTCCCCATGGTGAAGTACTATGCCGAATAAATCCTCGATCGAATAATTCTTGCAATTGGACCTTTAACTCCTTAAGTTCTTTTGGAGCCATGCGATAAGGTTCCATAGAAATAGGTGCAGATCCCGGATAAATCTCTATCTCGAACTCTACCTCTCTATCAGGAGGTAAACCAGGCAACTTCTCTGGAAAAATATCAGGAAACTCGCTAACTGTACGGATCTCTTCGATCGTGGACAATGAACCTTTAGTGTTCAAAATACAAGCAATAAAAGTCTCATACCCCTTCCGTATCATACGATCAATTTCCATCGCTGAAACTATATTGGAGAGATAGCCACGCCGTTCACCAATTAACACAACGGTCCGACCATCTGAAGTCTTTAGAGTAGCCCGCTTGTAT